CTCTTTGAGATAACAATTTCATTTCCTTTGGAAATATACTCAGCAGTGAAATTGCTGGATCGTATGGTAGTTCTGTTTTTAATTTCTTGTGGAACCTCCATACTGTTCTCCATACTGGCTGCACCAATTTACATTCCCGCAGTCAGTGCATGAGGCTTCTTTTTCCTCCGCATCTCACCAGCGTCTTTTATCTCTTGTCTTTTTCATAACAGCTATTCTAACAGGTGTGAGGTCATATATCATTGTGGCTTTGATTTGCATTTCCCTGATAAGGTTGAGCACATTTTCATGTACCTGTTGACCATTCGTTTGACTTCTTTGGAAGATGTCTATTTAAGTTTCTTAATGAAATTATTTGCTTTTTGGTTATTGTTATTCACTTAAGGTCCCTCAAAGGCATCTCAGATGAGACATGCCTAAGACTGCTGCCCAGTTTCCTCTCCAGTCATTCCTTTTCCTTCACTGGGTTTGGGACTGGCCGGGATGCTTTGTCAGTGTGGGCAGTGCTCAGGCAGGCAGCCAGGACCCAGTGGCCTTCTGATTGATGACTGGGGCCCCTCCTCCCCCACGCCCCTGGACTCTTTTGTGAAACACATAAAAAAGGGTCAGGAAGATGGGTTCTCTTCAGGCCATGGATGTTTACTGGGTCAGGCTGACAGATTGCAAAATGGAGATTGGGAAAGGGTACATGGGGGGCAGGGCCCAGGATCTCAAGGCTGTATTGGACCCCATCAGACCCTCCAGCCACAGCCAAGTGCACTGCCAGCTGCAGTGACAGGTGATCCTTGGGTCCCACTGCCTCCAAGGGCAGCAAACATCTAAGCGCTCTGTAAAGCCCACAGCCCGGGTGATGCCAGCCTTAATACACTTAGAGGACTCGTGGCACATACTTACTGTTCAACTCATGTTACCTGTTGTTATAACTGAGAACCATGTGCCTGTACTGGTGACCACGGTTCCTGCCATATCCTTCTGAGGGGTCTTGGAAATAATCATATAACGTGAGGGGCAGAAGCTGAGGGTTGACCTCTAAGTTCTTCCATTTATTAGCTTTGTGGCTTTCAGCAAGTCACTTATGCCCTCCCCAAGCCTCAGTGTTCCTTCCTGTACAATGGGAATTACCATACCAACCACTGGAGTTGGTGTGGGCTGTGTGCAGATGAATCCCAGCCGTGCATGTGAGAAGGAGAGTGAGGGCAGTGGCCGGGGCCTGAAATGGGCATCCATGTGGACTTGTGTGCACTGTGACACCCCCGGGAAATGACTAGTCGCCACACCATCTTCATCCAGATTGAAGAGCCAGGAAGGTGTGAAGTCTCGCTTTGCACTGAGCTTCAAACCTTCCTGGAGAGACTGTCTCAGCCCAGAAGCCCAGGCTAAGCTTCCACAGTAAACCATCGTTAGTCATAAGCTGCATCCTGAGCCGGGCTGCTGGGGTTCAAATCCTGGCTCCTCCTCTTCCTAGTTATGTGTTGTTGGGCAGGTCAGTGAACCTCTCTCTGCCTTCTTTCCTAATCTCAAAAGTAAGGATGATTACAGTCTTGTTCTCGAGCTGTTTGGAGGATTGAAATGAGTTAATTCCAGAGCACGTAGAGTAGAGTCACATGTGTTTATAAGTAGAATGAATTACCACCCATCCGGAGCCATCCTGGAGAGCCGACTTCGTGTGTCTGGCCACTGTCAGGCGGTGTGGGCAGGGAGAAAGCAGGCTTTGATCTCCCTCATCCTCAGATGATTAGGCGAGGAGAAAGGTGGAAATCACCTGGCTGCTCTGGGCTCCACCTAAACTCACACGTGCGGTCTGCTTTCTGCTCCCATCGCTTGAGGGAACATCTGTCTTTGGCAACAGAAACCAGAAGTGGTCAAGCCGTTGTACCTGCCCTGCTCACTCCTCCCCTACTTCCTGACCTCTGTTTATAAGCTCTGCTGGCCTTCTGTCCAGGTGGGTGTGAAACACTTCCACAAAGCACAAAGCAGGAGGTCCCACGCCCAGGCCGCAGGGACTGGCCGCAGGTGGACCGAGCACTGGACTCAGAGCCCACAGATCTGGCTCTGGGTCTAGCTTTGGTTCTGGGGCAAAGTCTCAAAAGCTCTCTGAGCTTCAGTCTGCCCTTTGGTAAAATAGAGATTGTCACAAATACACCTTGGAGACAATAGATGCAGACGTGTGTCGTCGACAGGAAAGCTCAGCGTATCCAGGGTAGCGGGTGAGGGATGATCACTGAGTAGAACTTCCAGCGCATCTGGCAACTTTCATCAGGGGATTCCTGCTCAGCCTGTCCTGGCGCTGCTGGTGGTGACGGGGTGTCCAAACTCAGCGCATAGTGCCGAGGCTCAGGGGAACCCTACGTGCTGGTGGAACTTAGTCAGGAGACTGGCCGCGGGCAGCTGGAGGTGCGGCCATGTCCCTGTTTGCAGTCAGGACACCTGAGTTCTTACCTGGTTTCTGCCATCGTGTGGCTTTGGGCTGGTCACTTTTCTTCTCTGGGCTCTGGTTTCGTTTTCTGTGAAATGAGAGGATGGTGGCAGGAAGCAACACAGTGTGGCAAGGTACAGACCAACTAGGTAACACATGTGAAATACTTCTGCAAACGCTATGGGCTACAGCATAGAAATGGCACTGGCCCGGAGCTGGGGCTCCAGCCCGCTCTCTAGAGCAAGCACACTGTGTGACCGTGGGCAAGTTAATTCTCTCTGAGCCCTGTCTTCTTCCTCCGTTAACTGACTGTCTAGGGGTGGATCAGGAGTTCCCAAATCGGGTACATATTAGAATTAACTTGGGGAGCGGGAATGAGACACAGATGCTCCGCCCTGTCCCAGACCAACTCACTCAGAATATCTGGGTGGAGCGTGAGGATCTTTTCCAAGCTACTCACTTGTTGCTGGTGCACAGCCTCTGTTGGGAACATCTGTCGGGTCGGTTGGGAAGGCCCCCTTCAGCTTAAGCTTGTTTGATTTCTGGGAAGTCCGTGGGATATGGTGGTCACTGGTGTTGCTGGTACTGGGGCCGCCATCCTCCTTACTGAGAGTGGGGGATTCTCGCCCAGCCTAAGTTCTCAGTGCTGGCTGCGCACTAGAATTCACTCGGGGGAGTTTTTAAAAAACTTCCATGATTGGGCCCCACCCAGAGCAAGTGAATACGATCTTTGAGGGTAGGACAGAGCTCCCCAGGTGATTCTAATATGCAAACCGAGTTGCGAACCACTAGTTTAAAAAGGGCCAGCGACCCCTAACTCCAGGCCCCTTCCTTTCTCTGCCCGGTGGGCTTGTGGCCTGATGTAGTGGACCTGGATGGAGTGCTCTGAACGAGACAGGTGTTCTAGACGTTACGGGGGCCTGGGTTTGAATTCCAACTCTTTTTATCAGCTGTGTGACTGGGTTCAAACCACATGACTGCTCTGAGCCTCAGTTTTCCTGTTTGTCAACTGGGGCTTGTGACAGTCCCCACGGAGCTGTGGAGAGTGAATGAGTTAAGGCACGGAAAGTCTACAGAGCAGGGGAATTCACGCAGTGAATGTCAGCTATAATTTGGGAGCAGGGACTGAGTCTTGCTCACTCCAGATTCCAGTGTTAGACTCTGGTAGCCCCAGCAGTGACCTGTTCGGTTGGATTAAAGAGAAACCTGTCTATAAAAGAGCGGCCCATATCCCATATTTCTAGACTTCCTGCCATGCTCTTATTTCCCTTAGAGCTTGTTAGCTCATTTAGCTGTTCTTAGCCCAGACTGGAGATCGGAATCACTGGGAGAACTTTCGAAAATGCAGATCCCCAGGCCTAATCTTCCCACTGCCCCACTCCTGACCACGGTTCTCATTCAGCAGGTCCCGGTGGGGCCCAGGAGGCTGGGACTTGGAAATGCCTCTCAAGGGACTTCAGTATTCAGCCAGGGCCGAGAAGCACTGCCCTCAACGTGACCCGGGGGGAGCCCATCTCACCTTTGTACGCGTGCCTAAGGGTCCGAGAAAAGATCTTTGTCAGCCTGGGAGTTTGGATTTTTGATTTAGGAGATAAAACTTTGCCAAATTATTTTCTAATGGTGGGGAAAGTTCCAGGGAGCCATTTGTATTTCTTCACCTTGCGGTAGATTGAAAAATAAATTTTCAGCAACTCCTATCAAGAAGCAGATTCTGTTTTGGGATTCCTTGAACCAGACCTGTGTTTTGTGAGTTGCTTTGACCACAGTACGTGGTGGAAGTGAATTCTGGAGACCACGGCTCAGATGCTTCGTGGCTTTCACCTTCACCCCTTGGGGTGCTCTCCTGAGACCCCCGTGTCAGGCAGCCAGTTGGAGGATGGGAGGCCACATGGAGGAGAACTGAATGAGGCCATCTTGGACCTTGACTCCAGCTGACCGTCCAATGGACCTAGACAAAACCAGCAGAGTAACTGTCAAGCCAACCGGCAGATCTGTGAAAAGTCACGATTGTTTTAAGCTGCTATGTTTTGACTTGATTTATTACATACAAATAGATGACCTGAAATACATCTTATCTACCCCTTCCAACTCAAGACCTCTGTCATCAGGAAAGGTCCCCAGAATAAGGGGCAAAACTGATGGACTGGAACAACACTTACCCCACCATGCCAGCCCCCTAGGGGTTGAACCTGGATCTCAGGTTTGGCTGAATAGCCCCAGAGGCCCACGTGGGGGCTCCTGGGCCCCAGGGGATGCAGACCTCAGCTGGCCTGTTCACTCCTGGAAGCCTCATCGTGTAGGTGGCCTGAGGCTCCAGCTGTCCCCACTAACCTTGCACTGTGGCAAGATCCATTCTGTGGCCCCGGAGCCTTGGGAAACCCTGGCGCAATCACGAATGAGTTAAATGCTATCTGATCGTAAGCCAGAGGGCCTGTTTTCATTTTCAAAACTCCGTGTGTCAGTGACTCTAATGCAATGTCCAGCAATGTCTTGAGCAAGTGACCGGCAGGGGACGTAGGATGCTATTTACTCAAGATAGCCCCATCACGCAAAAGCAACTTGCCTAACCGGGTTTGTAAGCAGCTGTTACGAGACCACCATTGCAACAGGGATGGCCCTGGGTGATGGTCTCAGGAAGGGGCTGATCCCCTCCAGGCCAAATTTGGGGCCATCTCCCTGTTTTTGGAACCTTTGGGGCCCTGGATCTCTGGCAAAAGGCAGAGAAAAGCATCATTGGGAAATATTACTCAGATGTGGAGTGCCACCCACCTAAGGATGGCTGGCCTGGGGAAGAAGGCTTCATGCTATGCTGGAAGGAGACAGCCCCTGAATCAGAGAGGCTGAAGGAGTGGCTGGGACGTGTGGCTGGTAAGGATGACGTGGTCTGGCTCCTAAGCCACTTGCTGAGCAAGAACATGGTGGTTTGGGCTTTTGAAAAGGTTGGTTTTGGTAATAAATCTACGGAGTTGGGATGGGGTTGGGGTGGGGCGGTCACTCTCCAGCACTGAAACCATGGTGATCAGGGGTCCATATCCTTGCCTACCCTCCAGGGTTGGCCTTATGTGTGTTTGCCTGAAAGTCAAATTATTCAGCCCTTCATTCTTTCCTCTTGGCTAGAATCTGAGTAGCAACCATCACTGCCACCACTATTACTGCCCGCCCTCTCATCTGAATAGCTCTCGTGATTTGAAAGTACTTTCAAATGCTCTCTCAAATAATCCTCATAACAACCTCAAGAGACAGGCATGATGACACCCATTTTATGGGGGGGAAAATCGAGGCTCAGAGAAGTTAAATGTCTGGTGCAAGATTCTAAGTCCATGTGTCCCACAGAAATATAAAGCAAAATATAAATAGAAAATGACTCAGAAGTGGAGCTGCATATATAATTGGATTCCAGTAGTTACATTAAAAAAATAAATTAAAAAAATTTTTGATTTGAAGAATAAATAGGTAAAATTAATTTTAGTCATATATTTTAACCCAGTATATCCATAATCATTTAAAATGCAATCAATATAAGCATTATTGAGCCATCTTACTTTCTTTTTTTCATATTCTTTTTTTTTCTTCATGTCTTTGAAATCCATGGTGTATTTTACGCTCACGCACGTCTCAGTTCGGACTTGTCATCGCATTTCTAGGACTTAGCAGGCACTTAAGACTAGTGGCTGCTGTATGGGATGGCACGACTCTAGAACTTCTGACTCTGTGCCCTTTCTCCTTCCTCACAGCTTCTCTGCCCACCTGTAATGTGCATTCAATTTCCCCCATTTCTAGAAGGAGGTGCTCGGGCCAAGGTATTTCTAAGGTCTTTTCCAGCTCTGAGGTTTTCTGATTCCAGAATGAAGCCAGAATTCTGCCCAGGCTTCTCTTAGACCCACGACACAGAGGATCCAGGAAACATGAAGAAAGAATCCTGGAAAGCTTCACACAGGCAGGTATGTTTCTTTCCCCGTGGCCTGCAGGGGTGCACTTTGACCGACTGACATAGGGACACACAGATACACAGGCATGGAAAGGGAGACGTATGGACTTAGGTCCCCCAGGCCCCCAGATACAGATGCCTGACACACAGTTACAAAGGCAAACATAGAGACCTCGCCTCTGATGGAGTTTGAGGGAGGGGAGGGGGACAGACGATTCTGAGTGTGGGCTTTGTGCTATGGCCACGAGTCCCAGATGTCACTGGGGGCCATCCTGCCCCTTAAGATCCAGGTGAAATTACCAGGGACACACTCAAACCCCAATCCATCGCCTCTATTTTTTCTGTATGTGTGTGTGTGTGTGCATGCGTGTGTGTGTGTGCACAGGTCACTCTCTACATGTAAATTCTGGGTCACTGTGTAACAAGTATTTCCAACCACAGGCTGTGGTTAAGCGAAGTTTGACAGCCCCCGTCAGGAGGTCCTCATGGCCCCGACCCAGGCACCTCCAGCTCCATCTCCCCAGCCTCTTCGGATTCTGCCTCCATTTCTCCAATTTTCACACGCTGTTTTCTTTCCTTAGGGTCAACCATGCCCTCCTTGCTTTTTGGTCTTCCAGGTCACAAACCTTACGTTCCCTCTGCACATGGAAATACAAAGCTCTCCCCCGACTTCTGTTACTTCCAGGTGGAGCCCCCGTCCTGCACTACATCATCCCCAGTGTGAGTCTTAGACCATCTCTTTGCTCTGCACACGCCAAGTCCTCAAGCCCTTGAAACTTCAGGAGATGCTCCCGAAGACATTCTGGGGCTCACAGGGAGGAGCCCGTCTTCTCCCTCGCACCCCTTCTCCCCTGCTTACGTCCAAGTCTTATCCATTTCTAAGGCAAAACACCTTCCTTGTACCGATAATTTCTTCGGAGCCCCTCCCAGTCTCACCCTGCCTCGCAAGTACCTATTAAGGTGCTTACAATTTCCCCCTCCCCACAAAGCAGCTCTCTCCTTCAGAGGAATCCTGGTGTCAGCTTTAATTTATACACCTTTTCTACCTTTAATCCATAGATGGAGATTATAACTGGGTAAGACCTTTTAACCTGGAGTCTCCAGCTCCCAATCTGTCAGACAGGGGTACACCTTGCTCCTACTGAGACAGGGAACTTAGTCACTTGCCCAAGATTGTGCCAGTCGGAAGCGATGGTACTGGGATTCTGCCCTGGTTCTGTCCTGGTCTCCAGCCCCTTCTTGGGGGCTTTCTGGCCTGGGTCTGTGCCCACAGGCCAGTTCTCTGTTAGCAGGCAGAGCTGTGGGTGGTGTGACACAATTGCACTGTCAATGGGTAGAAGCTCAGGATCTGGATCTGGAGGGGTGGGGTGTCTAGTGGTCAGACGCTCTGGTCAGGTGGGGCTGGCACCAACCTCCTGCCTCACACCTCAGGGGCGGCAGCATATCCTGCCATCTTCAGGGTGGTGGCCCTAGAGAGAAGGGCGCTGTGTCTGAGTGCCTGGACTCTCCCTCCTTCTCCCATTCCTCCGTTCCCCAGCCCAGTGAGTGAGCCACCCAGCCACTTCAAAGTCCTTTGTAACTCCCGTTGCTCACCCTGACGGCGGGATGTTCCCTGAGTCTTTTTTGGCCCCTGGAGACATTGCCCAACACCATGTTTGTCAAATGATCGACATGGTCCAGGGTTTTGAAATAAAGTTCTTAAAGAGAAGGCAAAAGGTTTGTTTTGTTTTTTGTTTTTGTTTTTCCTGCAGAGGAGAATTTCTCTGCATTGTGGGAGGGGTGCGTGATCTTGAGTAGATAAAGAAATCTGTCCTAACTCAGAAAATAGAAACATAACTAGACTCTCATTGGCCTTTTGGAAAAATCGGCTTTCTTCCCAAAGGAACTGCATGATGGTAGAGGCATGGGAGATGGGAGATGCATCAGGGGGGTGGATGGTAGTATGAGCCCTTCAGCTCCCTGTGGAGAAAAGCATGAGGTTTAAGTGTGTGCATATATAGTAGGTGCTGGGGTGTTGTTTGGTGCAATGCGGGATGTGGGTGACTGATTGTATGGGGCAATCGTGTTCGGGGATGGTGCTCGGGTGGTGCTTAGGGGTAGGTATGTGTTTTGGTTGGAGTGTAGGATTCCAATTTGAATAGTGTATTAAGAATGCACCGGGCAACACATATCAGACAACTCAACCCCTAACAGCTTAAATAATGAAGAGATTATTTTTCTCACCAAACAAGAGGTCTGAAGGTGGGTAGCCAAGAGCTGGTGCAGAAACTCAGCAATGACACCCAGACCCAGGCTTTCCCATCTGTCTGTTCTGCCATCTCGGTGTGTTGACTCGCAGCTTTCGGGTGGCGAGAGGGCGGCTGTGCCTCCAGGCATCATGCCCATCGGCCAGGCAGGAGGAAGGAGCAGGCGATCACACCAGCTGGGGCTGTTTACTTTTTATGGGGAAAGTCATAAACTTTCCCAGATGCCTCCCCACTTCCCAGCAAACTTCTGCTTACATTTCACCCTTCGGGGCTGTGCCATATGGTAACCCCTAACTGCATGGGAGATGGGGAAGTTGGTTATTTGGTTTTCCCAGCTTTCCACTAGAGGAGGACACGGCAGAAGGAGGTGGGGAGAGGTGTAGGTCGGCCAAACTCTAGTGCTGCCCCAGATGGGAGCCTGAGATGCACGTGGTGGTGGGTTGCAGGGTAGCTAAGAAGGGAGTTGGATGGCAGATCGTGCAGTCCAACTCTGCTAGCCATGAAGTTCTTGGCAAGCTACTGACCTCTGAGCTCTGGTTTCCATGTGTGTCTGCTTCTTCCTGGAGGGGCACAGGCATTGCCATGTGTTAACGCCCAGCCCAGGGCCCCGAGCTTAGTCGGTGCCTAGCCAAGGGGATTTTTGTTATTATCTGTGGGAATGTGTGTTGGGGGTGGTGGGTTCAGCCAGAAGGGGAGGGATGTTCAAAGTCCGCTCCCCCATCCCCATTTTGATCAGAAACTTGATCTAGTACAAGCTTTAAGTCTCTAGTCCCTCCCTGTTTGTGTTTCAGGCAGGATTTCTCAGAAGGGCTTGTGGGGTACGGGGTGGCATTTGGCCCTTTAGGACAGAGGTCCATGGAGGAGGCAGCTGGAAGGTGTGGGGGTGTGGGAGTAGGGAGCTGAACTCACTTTTCCTTAAGAAGGAGTGGGTGCGAGGCAGGGTGTCTAGAACTGTCCTCATGGTTCTGTCCAACGACCCTAGAGGGTAAATGTCATCAACCCCATTCTCAACACTAGGAGGCTGAGGCTCACAGAGGGGAAGTTCATTGTCCAGGACGCCCCAGTTGGGGGTGGGTAGGGGGACTGGGGCATGCCGGGGTGGGGGTGGGTGGAGAATCAGGCAGGGCCGGGGCCTCCTGCTGTGTGTGGGTGGGCGTAGGGGACTGTGTGAGAAGGAGGGCTCCCAGCTTCCCAGCAGCAGGCCAGGAAGAGACTGAAGGGCACTGCGGTGATAAAGCCTTTGTGACTCATTTCTACCTGGCCCAGTGGCTTTTCTACCTGAGCGCTCTGGAGGCCAAGCAGCCCTAGGGCAGGGTTGGGGGGTGCTTGGAGTATCTTTCCAAGGCTTCCCCAGGGCTGGTCAATTTGGGGCTTTTGTCCTTGAGCCTTTGCATGCATCATTCTGGCTCTCAGATAGCCTTCCCTCCTCCCCCACTGATGGCTGCTTTCACAAGTGGGCCACAAATCTCACCTCCTCCAGGAAGCCTTCTCTGATTGCCCCCACCCACCACACACACCTGCTACCCATCAGCACTTAGAGGGAACTTGGCTCCTGCAGGTGGGTCCAGCTGTACGCAACATAAAAGTGCAGATGTTCAGAGCAGACAAATAAAGAGGACTGTTCTTCACTTTACAAAAGATCCAGCACCTGCCTTTTTCAAGTGTCAATGATTTGATGTGTAGGAAATTTAGATTTATGCCCAGAACACCCTTAAGGCCTGTGATGAAGAGCACTTGAGTTCGTATTCAATCATTTACATTTTTTTTTAAACAAGTTGAATTCACCCCCCCTCCCCTCTTTCTCCTTTTGGTGGAAAAAATGACATAAAAAATAACACTAAAGGTTTCTTTTTTTGGGGGGAAAGAAAGAGGAAAAAAACCACCAACCCTTTCTACTCATAAACCCTCTTATTTTCGAACATTCCAGTTCCAGTTCACATTAAATAGCTGCAGCCAGGGAACTTTTACCTGACTGCTGGGCTGTGAGCTTCCTGAAGAAGCAGAGACCCATGCCACTCAGCCGGCAGCCAGCAGAGTGCCAGCTGGTGGCAGACCTGGATCCCAGGCTTACGGTTACTCTCACTGTAGCTACTACTAGCTTGGTTGAGTCAGAAATGGAGACCACTGCCTTCACTTGGCGAGTTTAGGCCACCCCCTCCCTCACTGGACCCTCCCAACAATCTCGCAGGATCGCTTTATTCCCTTCATTTTACAGAAAAGGAAAGCCCATCCTCTGTCCCAAGTTACAGAATTAGAAAGTGGCCGGAAAGGGATTTGAACGTAGCACCTCTGAGCTTGGAGCGTGTCTTCTATTCACTGCACAGCATTGTTCACATTATGGGCTGGATAAGCTTGGCTGTGTGGGGCTGTCCCGTGTCTGGCAGGATGTCGGACAGAGTCCCCGGGCTCAGCCCACCAGATGCCGGTAGCACTGTCTCCACCCCAGGAAGGCAGGGACCCGATGGTGGAAGCTCACAGATGAAGCCTAAATCTGCTTGTTGACCGAAGACTCGTCCTTTACCTCCCCCAGCTTTGCCTCGGACTTGCTCCTTTATTCACTCAACAAACACATTAAACGTCGACTTTGCACAAGTACACCTTTAGAGACTTGGGTTTGGAGCATCAGAAATGAGGTCGTGTGATGTACTACAGTGATTCTCAAAGTCTGTTTCAGGAACCCTTGCAGGGGGTGGTCTGTGCAATTTTAGGATTTTCTTCATCTACTTTAATCCAAACTGCAGAGTACACAAGACTGAGTGTACAGAGGCAGAAACCCAGCTGTCTTCTCACAACCCCACCATTAAGGAGGTTTGCCTCATGTAAAACAGTGCCACCCTTCTCACTAATTTTTGTTTTATTCTGGAAAATAGGGTTTTTTTTCATAAAAAGATAATTACGTTAATGTGAAATGGGTCTATCGCTACTTTAAGTGAATTAATAAAGATTAAAAATTGGAAAAAAATTAATTTCTAATAGAGCAAATGGCAGTAGATATAACCCACAACAAATGGAAGTGTGCTGCGGGCCTCCATAATTTTTGACGGTTAATGAGACCGAACGTCTAGGGGCTGCTCAGGTGGTGGCTGAGCCCTGGACTCAGAGGCCGCCTAGCCTGGACTTCAATACTAGCCCGATTCTTCATTAGCCAGTTGTGAACTTTGAGCAAGTCCCTTAACTTTTTCGAGCCTCAGTTTTCTCATCTATAAAATGGGAGCCTAGTGGCCTCTTCAGAGGGTGACTGTGAGAATTTCAGCTCACGTGCTGGGACCTGTGTTGAAGGTGCTGTTGGTCCTGGAGGTGAGCCGGGTGTGGCAGAGAGGTGTTCAAGGGGGATGTGTGGAGTGGACATTGCCACGAACGGGGGATACCAGCCTCCCCCGCAAGGTAAATATGCAAGGATTGGGAAAGTTGGTCAAAGGAAAGCAATTCAGTTGGTGAAATAGCTTCAAAGGGGAGTTGGAGGCAATGTGTTTTGCCTTTGATTATTTTGATTGTAACCACAGTTGAATTTTGAGAACTTCTTCTTATGGTCTCTCTCTCTTTTCAATGAACAGAGAGACCGTCTCAGAATACAGAGTTGTCTCTGGCTGGGGTCCACTCAGAGGAGATGGCCACTGCGTCTGCTGGACACACAGCCCTGGAAGTGGCTTTGGAGAAGTCCAAAGGACCAAGATTGCCAAGAGGGTCCAGGCATTAGTCCTGACCAGGGCTTCACCCCATACAGGCCATCTCAGGAGCAGCAAAATGGCCCTTCCATCCACCTGTCGTGGTACTGAATTTCTGCCACATGAGCTTTCTTCTTTGGGCTATGGTTCTTATTCATCAGAAAACGTCTACCAAAGCATGATTAACACGAATGCGTCATGGTGGCCTTATTTATTTAATAACAGATGGCAGGGCTTTGGAGTCATGGGATGGAAGACACATACGTTTTGAATGTCACAGGCCCTGCCGAGTTTCCAGCCTCTGTGTCTTTGCTCTTCCTTCTCCTGGGGCCCCTTGGATCCAGCCCCCCTGTTAGGGCCACTCCTGACCACTCCTCTTGGTTGGGAAAGCCTGTTAGCTTTTGTATTAGCTGTGTGGCCTTGGGTACCTCATGTCTCTGAGCCTTATTTTTACTATCTGTAAAATGGGTGCACACACAACCCCTCCTCTACAAAGTGAGGTCTATTTAATAGAGCAGCAACTCAGTTAATTATGATATGTATAAAATGCCTGGCATGTCCTAGGTGCTCAGCAGGTAAAAAAATGGAAGCTGTTATTGGTACTTAACTCTCAGTTGTGTGTGTGTGTGTGTGTGTGTGTGTGTGTGGAGGGGAGGGGTGGCGGTCTGGGGAGGAGGGCCCCTGGGTTAGTCAGGGCCCTCCTGACAGCTCGGCCGCCCTGCCTGCCCAGACCTCGGGCACCTCACCCCAGGTGGTTAGGACAGCTGATTGGGAGTGGTTCGGGTTTTTCACAATGACAGTTTC